GTGTTTGACAACGACATTGCAGTTGGTGAGTGTCAGAGAAGGAAAAGTGATAACATTCTGTCAGTTCGGTGGAAAGACAAAAGAGAGGTGAACTTGTTGACAACAATTCATGATGGAACAATGGTGAACAGTGGGAAAGTGAGCCATAAAACAAACGCACCACTATATAAGCCAGACTGTGTTTTAGACTATAATATCAACATGCGGTTGATTGATAAATCAGACATGATGATTGGCACTGCAGAGTGTGTGCGGAAGACATGTAGGTGGACGAAAAAAGTGTTCTTCCATCTTGTGGACATGAGCATGCTGAACTGTTTCAACATGTACCTTGTGAGAACTGGACGTAAGCCCACTTTCCGTGACTTTGTATTTGATGCTGCAATACAGTTATTAGGAAAGTTTGCAAAAGATGTCCCAGGTATTCAGCGGCCCATCATAAACCCACTGTTGCAGCATGCTGGTACTCCACGCCTCGCTCACACTGAAGGCTTCCTAGCACACAAACTTAAGTATTTGCCACCTGGTGTGAAGCGTGCAATAGCCCAACGTGATTGCTTGGTGTGTAAAACAACGACACGTAGAGACAAGAAACGGAAGCTTGTGCAAACATGGTGTGAAACGTGTGGTATCCCATTATGTGCTGTCGACTGCTTCAATGACTACCACAGTCTAGAAATCTTCTAAGTGTGCTTCAAAGTGTGTATAGCGTGTGCGAGTGTGTAAATATGTAAACATATAAGCAGATAGCGTGTGCGTGTGTGTAAATATATACAAATATAAGCAGAACATACAATATAATAGACTGTAATGACATATTATATTGCCGTAATTGAAAACATTTGTGTGCGCCTGTGTATACTCAAATATGCAACAATTATTGATACAAAATATGTTCAAACAGTATTTGAAACACAATTAGTGAAAAAAATTAGATAAAATGCGCTTAGACATTGTAAATAAATAGCGCGAAAATATATTTGTGGCAACTCTGGCTGTTTGAGGACCGCGCGCAACATCTCCCGGGCGTGTACTGCATGAGCGAACATGCAGATTGTGACGTCATCACCGAGCTTCTCGGCTCTATTGCAACAAAAGTAAGTACAATAGAATTTTTTTTTTATTTTTCCCGTGATCAGTGAACAGAACTTAACAGATTAGCAAAAAAAAAAAAATTTTTTTTTTTTTCAAAATGACATGCGCCTGTGTGGATAGCAGGATATTAGACCCCGAGCATGTTAAGGGTTAAAAACAGCACTGCTGTTCAGCTTGTGACCACAGCATCGCCTAAAAATGCCATAATATACTTGTTAATGCTATTACGTAGCGATGATATTATTACAGAAGACCCCTGACTGTGATAAAACTGACCAGGGTTCTGATAATAGTAGGATTGTGGTGATATTTAGCGCTGTGCTCCGTGGAGGGAGGAGTAATGCTGTGGGAGGGAGGGTAGTGGCATTGTCTTCTGACTGTGTGCAGCCATCTTTTATTGACTGCACTCACCATACTAGCTTAGTGGTTCGCTATGGTGAACACAAATGTAGATACTTATATATAATGTGTGTATAGAGGGTATAAACAGCAAGTGGAGTAGGTTGGGAGCCGCCATTTTGGTGAGGCCGGTGGCGTCGTCTGCACGACTTATCATGTTGTTTACTGGTGACCACTATGGTCTTTGGGCACCATACCAGTTTGCTTGTACAAGTATGGTGAATAAAACAGGTAGATACTTATATATAATATGTGTATATAGCATAATAACACCACAAACAGTATTGTTGGAGTGCGCCTATATAAATATTAGTGTGCCTGGCCTTGAGGGCGGCAGCCACCAGCTGACTGTGTGAGTAGCTACGTCTTTGTGTCTTTACTCACCATACAAGCTTAGATGTACAGTTATAGTGAACAAAGCATGTAAATACTTATATATAACGTCTGTATATAAAAGCAAAAACAGTATGGTGGGAGGAGAATGATGGCAAGTCAGGTGAGGTGAGGGAGGGAGGGAGTGGCAGCCAGTGGCGGGCTGCCACTGCCACTCAGCATACCAACTTAGTGGTTCGTTATGGTGAACATGAATGTAGATACTTATATATATCGTCTGTATATAGTGAATAAAAGCAAAAACAGTATGGTGGGAGGAGAATGTGGGCAAGTGAGGTGTTGAGGGAGGGAGTGAGTGGCTGGCTGGTGTGTGGCGGTCACTCCTCATTACTTTTTGACTCATAATAGCAACTTAGTGGTTCGTTATGGTGAACAAAACATGCAGATACTTATATATAACCTGTGTATATAGTGTAATAACCGACAAAGTATTTGTTCACTGTTTGATGAACATAATTGAATCAACAATATGCACACCATATTTTTGAGTACAGCGATGATTCACTCATTTTATTATATAAATATATCACACTACACACTATTGAATAATATTACAGCAAAAAAAAATATGAAAAATTAATCGGAGACATTGAAATAATTAGGTAATTATCTCTTTGTGGCAACTCCGGCCTGACAGCTGGCGAGCAACAGACCGCCTGGGACGCATGCTGATTCAGCGCCTGTTTTTTGCCAGACTTCCCCACCCTATAGCGGGCATATATGCCACTTACGAGTTTTTTTATTATTTTTCCCATGATCAGTGAACACAAATTAACAGGAAGAAAGATTTTTTTTTTTTTTTTTTTTTTTTTTTTTTTTTTTGTATGTGCCTGTGGGTGTGAAATGGTATATAGCCATGCACCATTTAAGGGTTAAGTCCCTGGGCCCAGTCTGGCCTGTATCTCTTTGGGTCGGCAGATACAGCCAGTTGTCTTGACTTCGGGTTGAGGAGTGAGCAGTAACCGCCTCCCGGGTAAGTCCCTCTTTTTCCTCTGTGGGTATTTAGCTCCATGGAGCTGTAGGGGCTCCCCCCTTCCCCCCAGAAAACCAGTGTTGAATGTAATGAAATGCCATTTTCTGGATGAGACCCGGAGGCTCTCCAGCATCCCTCCCTCCCTCCAGTCGGCGGTTTTTTGCGTGTTTTGACATCCAGCTTCAGAACTGGGGTGTGGATCGCCGGTGCGGTAGGTCTGGGGCTCCCCCTTCCCCCTATTGGGGAGGAGGGAGCTGTGCAGACGGCGGCACAGCAACAGGTGATGTCATACTAGTTTGCTCGTTTTTGTTTGGGGGAGTTCTATCCACGTGTTCGACTTTTGGAAGCAATATTTTCACCAGAATAGGGATTTGTTTTGGGATGCTTACCTTTCTGGGAGCGTGACCCAGTCGATGGCAGACATAGAATGCTTCCAACCACACTGGGTGCTTCAATAGGTCATTGCTCCCCTTGCCTCTCTGAGGGGGCCAGGTTCTGGCCATGGTCCCCGGTAGGCCCAAAGAACTCCATACACATGACTGATGTCAAAGTCTGACATTAGCATATCAGCCTGGATAGCTCCGGGGAGCCTCCGGGTCTCACCCAGAAAATGGCGTGTCATTACATTCAACAGTTTTTTTGCAGTAATAGTATTCAAAAGTGTGTAGTGTGATATACTTATATAATAAAATGTGTGAATCATCGCTAAACTCAAAAGTATGGTGTGCATATTAGTGATTAAATTATTATGTTCATAAGACAATAAACAGTTTTGCTGTTGTTATACTATATAAATAGGTTATGTATAAGTATCTGCATGTTTTTTTCACCATAACAAACCACTAAGTTAGTATGATGAGTCAATTCAACAATGAGTGGCAACCACACAACTGCCAGCAAATGCCACCTCTTTCCCTCCCTGAACAACACCTCACTTGCCAACACTCCTCCTCCCACCATACTGTTTTTGCTTTTATTCACTATATACAGATATTATATATAGGTATCAACATGTTTTGTTCACTATAACTGTACAATTAAGCTGGTATGGTGAGTTCAGACAATACCAGGTCGCCACACAAAATCAGCTGATGCTCCCTCCCTCCCTCCCCGCGCTCCTTCAAGGCCAGACGCAATAACATTCCATCTCCAATCATACTGTGGTGTTATTACACTATATACACACATTATATATCAGTATCTACATGTTTTATTTATCATAGTTGTACAACTAAGCTGTTATGATACCCAAACAGCATGGTGGCCACCCTATGCAGCATGACAAGTCATGCAGACAACACCACCACCCTCACCAAAATGGCTCCTCCCAACATACTCCTTTTGCTGTTATTACACTAATACACACATTATATATAAGTATCTACATTTGTGCTCACCATAGAGAACCACTGAGCTGGTATGGTGAGTGCAGACAATAACAGGTGGCCACACAGAGTCAGAAGACGACGCCATCTCTCTCCCTCCTTCAGCATTACACCTTCCATCATGCTACGCACAGTACTAATTATCACAATCCTGCTATTATCAGATTCCTAGTCATTTTGTTCACAGTCAAGGGGGGGGGATCTTCTGTAATACTATAATTGCTTAATAATAACAGTTACATATATATTTTGACATTTTTAGATGATGCTGTGTTCACGAGCTGACCAGTAACACTGTTAGTTCATGCTGTATGCGCCAGCCATGGTTGCTCTCTCAGTACTGAGGCTCTGGCACTCGGGAATGTTGCTCACAATTTTTTTTAAATGGCATCTGTTTACAAGAGCCCTGATGAAGCTGATGTGAACCCTGTGTAGCCACGGGACTGTTAAATCTTAAGTGGTACTCCTAACTATACATAGATGTGGTGAGCAGTTCCGCTAGTTATTCACCCAAGCTATAGATGTATTACCCAGATTATGTTTAAGGCAGCCGCATCACATGAAGTAATAGCTTCCAGGGGTTAAACTAATGATAACCGCATTACCCTGTATATCAACATGTGATGATAACCGCTCTGTAGGGGTTAAGGATAATTTTATAAAATTGTTTTGAGAGATATACTGTGATAAGGTGAGCCCACCCTTGATTGTAAATGAAGCAGTTATGCTATTTTCATTTTATTTTACTTTAACAGGTGACACAGGAAGACTTGGAACAGTACTACCGTGAGAATGAACACAATATACCGAAGCTAGAAAGATTTTTTCTCCTTCGTGCATCTCTGGCTCCTGTGGTAGAAGGACTGATTCTTCTCGACAGACTGGCTTACCTCAGAGAGCAGGTAACTTATTGAAGTATCCTAGTGTTCAATTTCTAAATGAAGTATTTTGGTTTTATTCTAGTAGTATGTTAAATTTTGCCTAAATGGATAGAAAACAAGTATTGTACAGAAGAGCAGAATTTTAAAACATACTTTTCTGGGGAGAGCCCCTATGGCTCCCCGAAGCTATCCATGGCTGATAGGATACCCTAACTATTTTGCATCAATGTGGATGGAGTTCTAGGTTTACCGGGGACCACGAGCGAGAACCTAGCCCCTCACAGAGGCACGAGGAGCAATGGCCCATAGAAATGCACATGTGATTTGGAGAATTCTATATCTGCCATCGACCGGGACAGGCACCCAGAAAGGTAAGTGCCACAAAACCAGCCCTTATTCTGATTAACAACGAAAATCGTCAAACGAGTGGACAGAACTCCCCAAAAGAAAAATGAGCAAACAAGCATGATGTCACACGAGCCACGCCACATGTCTGTGCAGCTTCCCCCCTCCCCAGGAGGAGGAAAGGGGAGCCCCAGACCCCTCCATCAGCGATCCCCACCCCAGTTCCTTGGCTGATGGGATTGTGCATAGTAGTGTGGCTCCAGCTCCAGTCTTCTCTCAGTGCTGCTCTTATGGTGGTCGTGTGAGCTGGGAGTATTATTCTCAGGTACTCGGGCTGCATGTGCTTAGGGTCACCTTCCCTGAGTGCCCTGTAAGTACCGCCCTTGGGGCTTGGGGTTGCCTTCCAGAAGTCACCTTGGGTCTACCTCTGTTGGCCTTTCACTGCTTGGCATTGGGCCACCCCGAGTGTTAGGGGGGTTTCCTCCATTGTTTGCCTTGGGGTAAGTGGTAATTGTTGTACTGGTGGGGGTGCGGTGTACTGCGTAGCTAGTTTTCGCCTATAACAGCGGCTGGCTCTGTTCCCTCTGGGTACGTTGTCCACTTGCGTAGTTTTTCTTTTCTTTTTTGTTTTTGCCTGGTGGAGGGTCTGCCTTGTGTTCTCCCACCCTCCTTATATTAGGGTCATTTTGTGTGGTGGCACCCCCTGCTTCGCCCTCGTGAGTGGACACATCCCCTGGGTTCAGCTTTTATTAGTTTGCTTGGGAGTTTGGGGTGCCGGTTAGCAGTACCCTGCCTGGGATAACCCTTAGCAGACCCAGTCTAAGGGCCCTGGGAAACCCCGCAGGGGAGGGGGTCTCTCTCCTCCAAAGGAGGAGACTCTTGTGTCCCCTCTCGCTTTGTGCGAGTTTGAGGGTTGCTCTGTTCCCTTGTCTCAGCGACATTCATTCCCTGGAAACACAAACCGAATCTTTCTCTATTTTCTGCATGTTACAACTTGTAATAAAGTTGTTACATCTTGGCTTAACGTGTTTATGACGTATTAGAACGTTCTTACAACTTGCTATATTGGTTGTTATAACTGGTTAGGTGTTAAAACTTGTTCGAACGTTGTACCAACGTTGTAGTTTTGGTGTGTGTTTGGCGGGTTGTTATTGCCTCCGTCATGCTGCCTGTTGGGTTGGTGACACATTCGACCCTGAGTCCTGTAAGCTGTGTTGCTTGTTAGTGACTCAGTTCAACCAGACTGACGACGATTTGCTTCGGGTGCAGGCAGCGTGTTGCAAGGTAGGTTTAGGTTTTTAAAATGCGCTTGGGTTGTCGCTTCCCAGGACACCCTGAGGCTGCCCTGCTTTGTCTATAGGGACTCAGAGTTGGGGGTGTTGGTCACTTCGGCCTTGGTTCCGTCTGTGCCCCCCCTCGTTCTTCCCCTTCGGTGGTTCATTTGGTCGCCCCCACCCCCCCACCCTGCTTCTGGCCCCTAAGTGTCTGAAGGCTTCGGGGTCGGGGCAGGGCTTAGAGGTTTCTGAGACTCGGGCAGTTTTGGGGGTTGCCTCATTTAGGGTGGCTGCGAAGGCATTAGAGTCTGTTCCTCTAGCTGATGCTCCGAGGTCTGACCAGTGGGCCTCTTCCCTTCCAGCTCTTTCGGCTGCCCCGGTTTTTTCTTGTGAGGCCGGGGCTTTGGAGGACGACTCGGCTCCGGAGCCTGGTGTGGAGGTTCTCGGGGTTGGGGAGGATCTGACTTGGGGGCATTGGGCTCAATTGGACCCCGCCTGGATTTTCCGTCCTTCTGAGTGGAGCTTACTGTTGCAAGGAGTGGGGTTTTCTTCCCCCCCCCCCTCTGCGTACGATTTGGACATGGGTTCTGCTCCTCCACGAGTTCGGTTCCATGTCCCTGTGGATTCTTCGGTTCCGTCTTTCCGGAGGTTTTTGTCTTCCCGCATCTCGCCGCCTGAGGTGCAGTCGGCCATTGCAGCTTACCTCCTGCGTGACCCAGAGTACGCCTCCATAATGGATCCTTCTTCATTCAGGTTTGGATCGTCGTGTCCTTACTGGGTGCGTTAGAGGTTCCGGGGTCGTCCTGGCTTGCCGACTGCCCATTGTTTTCGTTGGATGCTTGGGACTCATTCTGTCGAACCTGCACGTTTGAGTGGCGCAAGGTGTTGACAGTGGTCCAGGTGTACCTGGGGGGGGCAATTTTGAGCATCTTAATGAGTGCCTTTTCGCTCCTGCCCTTTTGCGGGATGTTGATGCAGTTCAGCTTCATGTGCAGGTTCCTCCCCTGTTGGCTGTGCTTGTGGCTGAGGACTTCAGCGCTCGTGGCTTTTTGGCTTCGGTTACTGCGTTTTTTTTTTCTTCCTTGAGCTGTCTTCAGATTGGCTTGCGGAGGATATAGAGGCGCTTGGGGTCGTTCCTGGGTCTGGCGCCTTGGTCTCGGCTGCTCGTGCGTCGCTGCTCTTTTGAAGCTGTTTGCACCGATCCTGCGAAAGGCGTTGCTGCGTTTTTTTGCTGCGCGTTTCGCGTGTCGACAAGCGGTCCTTGATTCCTCCTTGAAATCCACTTGGGCCCTGGTTCTTAGATTGTCTTCTTCTTTTTGTCCTCTGCTTTTTTTGAGGCCTCTGCGGTTGAGCATTATATTCAGGCGGCTTCTTCCACTTGCCGCCCTATGTCTGATTTGTTGGTGCTCCAGTGGAACTGGGAGGGTTCCTTCCCGGTAGGGTCGTGCCAGGGCTCGCGATTCTCGCGACGGAATCGCGAGCCCGGGCTCCTATTGGAGCCAGGAGCGCCTGGCTCCTATTGGAGCTGGGCGCTTGGATGGTATCCCTGGACCACATGGATGTGTATTGGCATGTCCCTATTCATCTGGGGTTCAGGGACTGGTGGTGTTGCTGGTGGTGGTGTGTTGCTGGTGGTGGTGTGTTGCTGGTGGTGGTGTGTTGTTGGTGGTGGTTTGTTGCTGGTGGTGGTGGTGTGTTGCTGGTGGGGGTGATGTGTTGCTGGTGGTGGTGTGTTGCTGGTGGTGGTGTGTTGTTGGTGGTGGTTTGTTGCTGGTGGGGGTGTGTTGCTGGTGGTGGTGGTGTGTTGCTGGTGGGGGTGATGTGTTGCTGGTGGTGGTGGTGTGTTGCTGGTGGTGGTGGTGTGTTGCTGGTGGGGGTGTGTTGTTGGTGGTGGTGGTGTGTTGCTGGTGGTGGTGGTGTGTTGCTGGTGGGGGTGTGTTGCTGGTGGTGGTGGTGTGTTGCTGGTGGGGGTGATGTGTTGCTGGTGGTGGTGGTGTGTTGCTGGTGGTGGTGGTGTGCTGCTAGTGGTAGTGTGTTGCTGGCTTGCTGGTGGTGGTGTGCTGCTGGTGGTAGTGTGTTGTTGGTGGTGGTGGGTGTGTTGCTGGTGGTGGTGTATTACTGGTGGTGGTGTGTTGTTACTGGTGGTGGTGTGTTACTGGTGTTGTTGAAGAAGCTGTTGGGTCGTTTGCTCGAACCACTGCCTCAGCAATGTCTTGTTTCAATTCTTCAAAAGCTTTCGCAGCGGCAGCAGATAAGGGAAAATCATTGGCATGAGAGAGAGGATGGATCTTCTCAGAAAAACCCAGCACCCAACGGGAGTAATGTGCAAGCATTCCCATTGTTCTGCGTAAAGAACCTGTGTTACTTGGTAGTGGAAGTTTTAGCAGTGGCTCGAGGCGTTCCGGGTCAGGTCTAATTTCTCCTTCTTGTATAAGATATCCCAACAGCTTTATAGACCTGAGTCAAAAACTACACTTTTCAAGATTCAGGGTCAGGTTATACCTTCTCGCAACGTCCATAAAATGTTTCAGATTTTTATCATGGTCTTCCTCAGAATCTCCACACACACAGACATCATCTACGTAAGCGAAGATACCCTGCAATTCTTCTTTCTCAAGGACGCCATCAATCCCCGTTTGAAAACTAACCACTCCATTAGTGACCCCAAAAGGGATACGATTAAATTCAAAAGCTTCCCACAAGCTTCAAAGGCTGTATAGGGTTTTTCTTCCTCTGTTAAACCCACTTGATGGTAAGCACTTCTCAAGTCTAGCATGCTGTATACTTTAAATCCAGCAACATTATTCACAATCTCATCTATATGTGGTAAGGGGTAGGCATCCAGCCCCGTGAATAGATTGATTGTTGGTGAATAATCTACAACCATTCTTTTCTTTTGATGGTCTCCTTTAGTTACTAATACCTGGGCTCTCCATGGAGAATGACTGGGTCTAATTATCTCTTCACGTAGCATCCGAGCGGTCTCAGATTCAATAAACAACTTTTCAGCCTCAGAATAGCGTCTGGATTTTACAGCAATCGGCTTGCAGTCTGGTGCTAAATTACTGAAGAGAGATAGAGCCAGAACTTTGACGGCAGCTAATCCACATATTCTAAGGGGAGGTCTATCTCCTCCAAAAGCCATCTCGAGCACAGAATGATTTTGTAAAAAGTTATGGCCTAAAATCACATCAACACACAAATCGGGTAACACTTTGAGATTCACACCATGGTAAGTTTTTCCTTGCAATTCTAAGTCTACAGAACACTGACCCAGGAATTTTGAAGAGAACAATACAGTAGCCATAGAAACTGCCCCATTGTCAGGGTAGTCGAGTAACCCACTCTGCTCGGCAATATTCTTATGAATAAAGTTCTCAGAGCTACCAATGTCAATCAGTG